GTTGGCTGCTGTGAAAGGAAGTATTTTTGCCCCTCACAGGGTTCATATGATTAAAAATCTGTAATACATCTTTCTTAGTAATAATATTACTAAAATATGAATGTGGCAAGAGGGGCACATGAATCATCATCAGAACATTATCCTAAAAATACTTAATCTGGAATTTAGCTAGAATACAGTAGGTTTGCATTTCATGTTGTATTATTTGATTGGCATTTGAATGTATTTAATGTTCTTTCTGTTTTCTCTAGGGATAAGTAGTTTTAAAGATCATTGCATTTTTTCCCAGAAAAGTATCCAAATTCATATGTGGCTTAACACATCTGAACCTTACACTGTTCAAGGGAAGTGAACATGTGTTCTATGAGTAATCCCCTAGGTAAATCTGCATCTGAACCAAAGAGCACTAAGATCAACTTTCAGTGTTTTTTTTCTGTTTTTCTACACTGAATAAAAGTACAATTCAAAAATTACACCAAGAGCTTTCTATGGTTTATGATTAGTTATACTCGAGTGGAATCCATGTAATGGAGGAACAGAAGGTAGATTAGTTGACAGGGATGGTGGTTAAGATGTGGTTGGGAAAGGAGATGGCATGTTGGGATGGTTGGGGAGAGTAAGAACTAGACCTTTGACATCTATTTTGGAAGTTATTTCCCACTTGTAATAATTTTTTGTCGCCTCTTACCTTAATATGGTAAGTAAAAGGAGGTAGTGTGTCCTTGTCACAGACGATTATTCTTCCAAGCACCAAACACTAATCAATTTTTCAGATCCTATTGATACCCTTTTCTCCCTATGTTAAAAACTCTTGATGTATTGTCTAAAAAAGGAAGGCAGAGGACATTTTTAATAGTTTATCAGGATTTAAAAGCCACATTAATCTTATCACTCTGTTTAATTTGATTTTATTCTGTTCCAGTCTTTCTACTCATACTAGATTTGAGGACACAGACAGCTATCCCAAAACAATAGGATATACTATGGTAACTATCGTTAATTTCCTGTTAACTTAACTTGAAGCCCTGCATTACTTCTACGATGTCTTACTATGACTGATCTTATTTGAATCTGGTTTGTTAGGTTGCTGTTTTGTCTTGACTGATTTTATTTGAATTTGGTATGCTTGATAGTATCAAGTCTAAGAACAGAGCAATTACTCTGAAGATGAGAAGATGTAATAGGATACCCATTCTGGTTTGATTATTAACTGCTTTTGAAGTCCTATAATGTTGCCAATGTTTTGTTTTTATTAACATTGCTAGGTAGTGCTGTTCAATTATATTATGCCTGATGATATAGACAATTCTATTGAAAATAACAAGAGACATCATAGTAACTACTATAGATCACCTAGTATTGAGGTTTTATATGTCTTTATCATTTCATGTTTTTCTGGGAATTTGTGTTGCTATCTTGTTTGGAAAGAATAGGTATATGTGTAGAGATTCATGCATGTGTAGAACTTCAAACAGTTTACAAGAATAGATTCTATAATGTATGTTGTAATGAACAGATACTCTGAAGAAAATGAGACACTAAGATACCCAGTGCTAATTCCATGGCGTCATGATACAAAATCTGGCAATACTATTATTGTCTGTCTAGAGTGGTGTTAGTCTGTTTTCTTTTGTTTAATTTCAACATATGTAAAGATATGGACAGCTATTTTGAAAAGAACGAGAGACATTATGGCAGCCATATTTGACCTCCCTATTGTCTGGTCTTGAAGACCTAAAATGCCTTCATCATCCTGTTCTGATCAGTTTAGTACTGTTTTGTTCAGTATGAATTCACTGTGTGTGAAGATATGGACAACTATTTGGAAGAAACCAAGAGACAATATGATAGTGAAGATCTCTGGTGGTCTTGCCTTGAAGTCTGTGTTTCTTAATTGTTTTCTTATGATGTTTTGTTCTGTTTAATTTTACCCTCTTTAAAAAAAAAGCTCTTGATGCTGGGAGAAAATCATTTGAAATTTGAAGACTAATAGGATTATTTTTCTTCTTTAACTTGAAGAATAATGAAGTGTTCTATTTACTTATTTTAAAATTGGGAAGTGTGAGCACAAAACTTTTCCATAACTGCTGATGTTTGGGAGAAAACTTTTCTCTCCATTGATCCTTAGGGAGTAGAAGAGCATTACCCTTTAGGCCAAATGAGACTGAGCCAAGAACTAAACCAGATTTTCAGCCTGAGATTTCCTAACCTTGACTCTAAGTTAGCACTTCCCAAACTCAGCGCTATTTACATGCAGGTCCCATTATTCTTTGTTCTGGAGACTATTCCTTCACTGAGATATTTTAGCAGCTTCTTACCCTTTCCAATGAGGTGTCAGCAACATGCCTCCCCCTATTTGTGACAACTAAGAATGTCTCTAGATACTGCCAAGTGAGTGGTAGGATCATGCCTGTGGGATCTCAACCTCCTGTTTGAGAAACACTGCTGTGTGTTATTATTGACGAATATTTTCCAGCTTTTAGTTTTAAATATTTTGTCATATTTGAAGAATTTTGGTACAATAACTATAAAAAAATAACCTGGGAACATATTGCTACTTTAGAAGTGAAAGGACAAAGTCTTTCCTTAATGTGAGAATTTAATGTTCTAGCCTTTGAGTTGTGAGTTTTGTATTTTTCAGTTGTGAGTTGTATTTTTCAGACTAGGTGGGAGGTCATTAGTGGGTCAAGAATAACCATGTGGAAATCTACAGGGTCACAATATAAAATGTATTTCTCCAGAATAACAGACATTCAAAGCAGCTGGTCTAGTGAAAGCACAACCTTCTTTTGAACCAGATTATTCTAAGTATTTACTCCATATCAGTAGGTGACAGTTATGCTATTTATCTAGTCAGGTTGAACTTAATAAATACTGTATTCTTTGAAATAGGGCGTATTCAGACTTGGCCAGAGCAGTAGACAAGATACTTGACTTTTAACTTTGATTTTTAGTTCTTATCATCTTGCTTGCAAGACGAGGAAGCTCTGAACTCTATCACGTATTTTAGAACATTCTTGGCACATTTCTTGTGGACTCTTCCTGCCCTCCACCCCCCACACAGATTCTTAAAGAAAGACAGCTCTGTTTTAATTGTTTTTTATCACCATGTATGCAAAAGATCCGTTTTTATCAGTTTATTAACTTATATAGAATTTATGCTTTATGGTGTAAAGGACAAGAAACATTGTATTTATTCAAGATCACACAGAAGCATAAAGGCATCTAAAATTACTCTAACCACTCTACTTGTGTTATTTCATAAAGCACATTTTAAAATGACCTTGGGTTGACTAATTGGCTATGGGGGATGCATTAAACAATCTGCTGTTGCAAAGTTATGGATAAACATTTCAGTTACTCTAAAAGCAGCCTTAGCTTTTGTTTACTAAAGAAAACACACTAATATTTTGAGTTATTTCATTTATCCAGTGGTTTTTAAAGATTATAACACTTCTAGCAAGCACACATATATTTAGTATTGCTCTTTAAAAGTAGGCCAGGAGAGTGGCTGGAAATACAGCTCAGCAGATAAGTGCTTGCCTGGCAAGCACAAGGTCTTGAGTTCGATTCTTGATTAAAAAAAAAAAAAAAAGACCAGGGATGAATATTAATACAAACTCAAGGGTAAAAATTCTTTGTCAGTAAAGGATATGACTTCTAAGTATTACCATAAGAGTTACATGATTTGTTTCTTCATTAAAGTTGGGACTAGTTTGGAATTAATTTTTCATAACATTTCCTTATTCATACTATTAATATTTACTATCTGCTACTTACTAGATACTATGTAAAATTTTTATGTGTATAATTTTTATGCATATAATTTTTGTTAAAATTTTTATGTGTATAGTTTTTAAAATTAATCTGTTCTAATAAGTGATGTGATTACTTTTAAAAGTAATAAATCAAGAAAATTCTCTTAGAGTTGTGTTCATAATGAGGTTAAAACTCAGCAGCATCACATTTAATACAGTTTTTGTGTAAATACTGTACTATTCCAATGACATGATCATAAATAACTTGTAAGGAAGAAAATGCTTCTATTTTAAAAGTATGTATTTGTGATCCTGTTAGAAAGGGATTCATTTGAATCCTATCGTCATACATTAATCATCTTATTAAAAGGATGTCATTCATTTGAATCATGTTGTTAATGAATGCTAAATAATACAGTTGTAGCAACAGCCGAAACTTGTAAATGAACATATAATCAATGCCTCCTGCATGCTCAGTGAATAAAATGAGGGATGCAGATATTTCATTTTTACAAACAATAAGCTGGTTATCTAAGTTCTTGTATTTACTTGCTGAAAAATAAATGAAGCAAATGTCAGAACCAACATATAAAAGTAATTTTTTCTTTATCTTTAATAAGCTATAAACTTTAAAAGTATTAAACTTTTAATTATTTTCTCTGTTCTATAGGAAGAAAATGGAGAAGGAACAACAAAATAGTCAAATTTAAATAGAATATAAACTTAAACTTCAAAATCAACTACTTTCAAGAGGAATCATTTGTAGTCTATAATAGGATCAATAGTTTGCATAATTTTTTATCATATGTTAACTGTTATTAAGAAATAATCTTGCTTCACAGGAGATTTTAGGAGCTTATGATTGTTAAAAAAAGGTGAAGCTGCTCACATTTTTATATTAGTTATCTTAAATAGTTTAAATTGGTATTGTTTTAAATATTAGGCCATTTTGATATATTTATATATTTGTAACTCTTTGCTAAGATGGGTTTTAAGATATGTTCAGATTGTAAAGGTCTTTGACATTATAAATTATATAAGTAATCATTATTTGAACCTGACTTGATTTTTCTTGGCAATTGTGACTAGATATGCTAAGCGCTATGTCATTTTATTTTCTGTAAAGATATACTGGTGGTATAAATATCTGAGGTCATGTGTATTTTTAAATCACCATTAAAAATCTTGATTACTCAGAAGTTTAAAACAAAAAAACAGTTTATCACCCCATTTTTTTTTAAGGTGATGGATGTGGACACACTGTACGAGGCCCTGAAAGTGGAACTCTTGCATCTATAAACTACCCGCAGACCTATCCCAGCAGTACCCTTTGCAAATGGGAGATCCGTGTCAAGATGGGAGAACGAATTCGGGTCAAATTGGGTGATGTTGACATTGAAGATTCTGATTCTTGTCATTTTAATTACTTGAGAATTAATAATGAAATTGGACTTGGCAGAACAGAAATAGGTAGGACATTTTCTTAGAAGTGTATTTCTAGTACATTTTTGCTTTAAGTTTCAAAACTAAAGCAGTTTCATATTTAATATTGAGTGACTGCTGCATGAGGCAGTATGTGAGAAATTATTGAAAGTGTAGAAACCTCAAATTTGAATCTTGTAAAAGGAAGGTTGTCTATTTACACTTCTAGTAAGTTTATGTTGATACCTTTGCATAAGATGCTACTGTACTACAAAGAAGGAAGAAATTATCCTTTGTGTTTTCCATTGATCATTTTGTTTCCAGTAGGAAATACAAGCATGATTCATGCTTAGGACACTGTGTAGTAAGAAGATGGGTTTTGGATCCCAACTGCCTGAGATAAAGGCTTTAGTCTGCCATGAAGTGACTATATGATCTTGGGCAGTTCACTTTACTTTTCCATTTTCTCATTTATGAAACAGAGAATAAAACTAATTCAAATAAAGTACTAGGAGTTACACCAGACACATATATTTAGTAAATAGTAGTTATCATTGTACTCTTGTTTAAAAAGTCGTTCTCAATTATAGCTGCATACTACAGGTCTTCTGAGACTTAAAAAAAAAAAAACAAACACATTGTATATGTGGTTCCCGTCATAGACCAGCTGAATTAGAATTGATTGAGTGAAACCAAGATCTCAGTATGATAAAAGTTTTTCAGGAAAATTTACTTTGCAACCAAAGTTTGGAACCTTTGGTTTAGAGATCAGTACCATTCTTAAGTTACTTAAGAAGTAAAATCTGAAAGATTTACAAGACAGTTTTGGTGAAGTAATGTTAAAAATTAAGAACTCTAGAATTTTCTTCGTTTAGAAACATTGATTAGTGCTGGTATGTAAAATGTCTTTTAGAACTATATAGGTATGTAGGATTCTGTTTTTTAATACACTGCATTCATTCTCAGGTCTCCCCATGTAGAGCCAGATCTTTGACCTCTCTTACACACCAGAGGAAAAATTTCTTCTGTGTTTCTCTGTTTGATGAGTGATAATCAGTTGTCTCTCATCAATTCTTGATTAACATATTAGCTTGATCACAACCTACATAGTTCCATCAATTTAAGGTATCTGATAACTCGTAGAAATTCAGATTATGGAGAATGTAGAAACAATTTCTGCTCTTACTAGTAGAAGACCACTAAATGGTAAATGCCTGCTGACAGTGCAGTAGAGGGGGGGCACTATCACTGAACATTCTTGAAACAACATTGAGAAAAGGTGAGTCCCAGCCTAGTCGCCTATAGTACTTTACAAGTTGTAAAGGAGACAAAGAAATATGTTTTACTGACTCTATAGAAAAAGTGGCTTCATTTCTTTAACATTCAGATATCATTTAAAAAAGAGAGATGGAGGAGCTATTGAACATTGAGGCGTATCAGCTAGAATAATGTGTTGGTCTTGTTGGATTCTTTTAAGACAAAGTCTCAATGCAGTCCAAGCTGGCCTTGAACTCAAGACAGTCCTCCTGCCTCAGCCTCCCAAGTGCTGGAATTACTAGCATTTGTTTGTACCTGGCTCTTGTTTGATTCTTGATTCAAGTTAATTTTTAGAAGGAAGACATTTTTAAGATATCAGTGGTGCTGAAGGTGTAGGTCAGTGATAGAGTGCTCACCCAGCATGTGGACATCCCCAGATTTGGTCGCTAGCACCTCTCTCGCCTCTCTCTCACACACAAACACACTCTCTGTCTCACTCAGCAATTTTAAAGAGGAATTAGACATCCAGTGATAATAAAGAATGATAATTGTAGATGTGATAATGTTATGTTTTTATTGTAACTTGTTAGAGACATTCTGAAGTTCAGTTCAAATGTCAAGGGTATATTTTTAAATATTTCTGGACCACGAAAAGGCAAGCAAAACAGGGTGGCACATTTGGAAAGCTGAATGCAGGACACAAGAGTTGTTATGCTTTTCTCTTATTGTGTTGTTTTGAATATTCTTGTAGTGAAATGTTTTTAAAATCAAAAGACAAGGGAATTGTCTTTGGACAGTAAACAATGATTCTGCTAGAGGGAAAAAGTGACATGGGAACAATTTGGGCTTCAGATTTAAATTTCTGGGGTTCTGTAATCATGGCTTCAGGAGTTTCTTGCTGTGGGTCCGTCCTGCAAGGCATTGACCCTACCCAGGTTGCAGAGTTGTCTCCTGTACCTTAGGAAGGGCAAGTGAAAGAAAATAGTGTCTTGCCTGGCATGTTGAATGAATCGTAGCTGTTCCTTACTTGCATTGAGTGTGCTTTTCCTTTAGTCTCTCTTCATCTGAATGAATACAAAGCTACAGAAAGATCAAAGGGCTGGTGATGATAGTTGCATCTGAACTTAGTTTGTTATGCTTCCCATGGCCCATATTCTCCTGAGTCCTCTGTTCTGATAATCACCGATGGTTATTGAGAGGAAAGCAAGTTTCCTTGCATACTACAGGGAAGATCATTTAAGAACAGTCCTGGTTGAGTTGGGTATGGTAGTGCATTCTTGTAATCTCAGCAATTGGAAATCTGATGCAGAGGATTGTTGCAAGTTGGAGACCAGCCTGGGCTACAGAGTGAGCTCAGAGGCAGCCAGAATTGCATAGCAGTTCTTAGAAAGCATATCTTAAAAAGACAAAAAAAGAAAGAGAAAGAAAGAAAGAAAGGAAGAAAGAAAGAAAGAAAGAAAGAAAGAAAGAAAGAAAGAAATTCTCTTTAACATAAACCTACATAGAAACATAGGGTTCAATATTCAAGTGATAATGATACCAGATCTTTTTCCCTTTGTTTTTTCTAACTTCCCCTTCCAGAAAGACACAAGTCCAAATGAGCTCCATTTCACTAGAATGATAGATCCTATTGGTATAAAAATAGGTTTTAATTTTATGTTTATTTCAAAAATTTTTGGGCTGAGAATTTAGCTCAGCAGTTCAAATGCTTGCCTGATATGTGAGGTTGTGAGTTCAATGCCCAGTATCAAAACAACAAATAAATAAACAAATAAAAAGAATTTTTCCCAAGAGAGATGTTATTATGGAATAATAAATAAAAGATTATTTAGGGGAAATTATTTCTCAAGGAATAATTTATAAAAATCATAAGCTTAAAGAATATATGGCAGTTAGGCAGCTATTTCATGTTCTCTTAGGGCTAATGTGTAATAATATTTAATACCATAATTATGATTTTATACGACTACTTTCTGAATTGCTAAACTGTACAGTAATTTTTGTGGAATAACTCCCTGCATTAGTAGGACTAATTTCACTTGGAGACATTGCTAGGTTGTATATGTTTAATGTAGGAATTATTGGCTGTCTGTACCTGACTTCTGTTGCTTTTTAGGTACACTGTATTAGAATGGGAAAGTTTTATGAAGTCTTGAATTTCCCTTTTCCTTTCTTCCTTTCTCCTCTCCTCTCTCCTGGCCTCCCGTCCTTTCCCCTCACTTTCCTGCTCTTCCCCTCCTTTCTGGTCTCCTTCTCTGTGTCCTTCCTTTCCCTTTCCTTCCCTTCTCTTTCCTTTAGATTGAACTCAGGGTTTTGCTTTATTTTGAGACAGAGTCTTGCGGAGTTGCCCAGGGTGGGTGTAAACTAGTTATCCTCCAGTCTTGGCCTCCCAGATACACCATGCCCCACTTACTTCTCCTTTTTAATTATTTCCTAATTCCCAGTATCTGAGCTACAGTAAATTACTCCAGAAATATAAAAATAAAAGTATAAAAATTATTTATTGTATCAATTAGGCTTTGCTAGAGGAACAGACTTAATATCTCTAATATTTTTTATATTTATATAAAGTATATAAAATGTGTATATATATATATATATATATATATATATATATATATGTATATGATCTATGAAGGATACACAAGGGAGGCTTACCGTGGCTGCCTGTAGAGTCGGAGTAGGAGAAAAGCTGTGTAGGTGCTGGAGAGCTGGAGGATCGAGTCAAAAGTTGATGCCGGGAGCTCACTGCAGAGTCCCCTGCACCTCAGGAAGCTGAAGGGCCCATATTGGCAGGTAAAAGAGGCTCTGGAACGCTGAAGAGTCTGTGCTGGAAGCCTACAGACTGACGTTCCAAAGGCAAGAAGCAAGTAGCAAGCCTTTCTCCTGCTTTTCCTTTTCCTTCTATGAGCCTTTGCCTGGTGGGTCTCCCTCTTGAGGAAGTACATCATCCAAGACACATCTGTAACTGTGCCGTGCTGTCCTACTAGGCACTTCTTACTCAAGTTGACACCACAGTTTACTATCAATTTATTATTATTAATGTGACCTACATATTTTATCTCTCGTAACTTTTTTCTCAACATTTAGGCATCTTTTCCTGTAGGTCTATAAACATTAATCAGTATCATGCCCCCATAGACATTACTGATAATGAGTCCAAAGATAGAATTTTAAAACTGTTAAAAATCAAACTTTTACTTACCTGTAACCTTTTTCCATTTTTATATGTTTTCTTCTTGACTTTGTTCAAAAATTTCCATTAATGAACTTTTTTTGAGGAGGGAGATTCTAGGTGGGTCTATAAAAAGAGAGCATTAAGTCTAGTGGGGGGGGCTGGGGGTTTAGCTCAGTGGCATAAAGTCTTCCTGGAAGCGAGAGGTTGTGAGTTTGATCCCTAATACCGCCCCCCAAAGTCTAGTGGGTTGTTGGGAGCCTGCCATATTACCCATGAGAATATAGCCACAAGATGGCACCCGCCTGCCGCCTCCGCCGCTCCCCCGCCCATTGTGTGCCCAAGATGGCACACACATCCTGCTTCCTGGTTCTTGCTCCGCTTACTGTCCCCGCCATATATGGTAATGATTGATTGCTTCCTTGTTGCCGCCCAATGGCCTGTCCCCACGTGTAATCCCATGATTGGATAACATTAGCTATATAAGCCCAAGTATAGGAAGTGCCCGACGCACAACACGGAAGAAGCAGTCGAGGACGGACATGTATTGAGGTTGTTGCCCAGTCAATAAAGGTGCTTGCAGAGGCTGAGTGTTCGTGTGCTCCATTCCACGGGA